TGGATCTGGTCTGGTGTCACATCTGCTGGGCTTGGTTCGGTTCTATTGGCCCACTTGAAGGCTTGCAGCCCATCGCATGGGTTTTATAGGGTTTTTTAGTTGTTGTTGCTGCTGCTGTTGTAATGTGTTTCCCGTAAGGAAGTCAGAACTAAATTTGTTCGTGTGGTCAAACGGAAGCTTGTTACGCTCAAATGAGTGTAACAGAGACTAGTAAGTTTAAAAAAAACATATGCATTTGCCAATCGAAAGTATTTTTGTAACATCTACAACACCATAAATACGCAAAACTATCTTTGAAAAAGTGTTTTGCGTAAATGATTTTCTAGAAATCATACTCCCTTTAAAATCACGAGTTCAGGAAAATCTTTCGGTAGAAAAAAATATCCTTAGAATTTAAATATTATTCCATTAAGTAATAATAAGTTGATAAATTAATGAATTCTTATTGGATATACATAGTATGAAGATAATGATACAATTTAAATTGAAATGTAAATCTAAATAAAATTAATAAATACCAAGTTTATAAATGTCTACAAAATGAAGGGCGTATATGCAAAATACAAATAAATTAATGAGATAAATAATGTCTACCCCAAATGTCAAACCCGGGAACAATGTAGACCTACAAATGTACATAATATGGATGAGATATTTACAAAATCCATCAAACAAATTAAAGAGACAAAAGTCATTATCAAAATTATAAAAAAATTAAGGAAAATAAAGAAATCATATCATACTCCCTTTAAAAGCACGAGTTTGAAAAAAATATTCGGTAGATAAAAATACCATTGGAATTTAAATATTATTCCATTAAATAAGAGTAAGTTGATAAATTGATAGATTCTTATTGGATATACATAGTATGAAGATAATGATACAATTTAAATTGATATGTAAATCTACATAAAATTATTAATTACCAAATTTATAAATGTCTACAAAATGAAGGGCGTATATACAAAAACTAAATAAATTAATGAGACAAATAATGTCTACCCCAAAAGTCGAACCCGGGAATAACTTAGACCTACAAAAGTATATAATGTGGATGAGATATTTACAAAATCCACCAAACAAATTAAAGAGACAAAAGTCATTCTCAAAATTATAAAAAAAAATTAAGGAAAATAAAAAATCATACTCCCTTTAAAAGCACGAGTTCAGGAAAACTTTCCATAGTCAAAATTACACTGTACTATTTTAAATATTTAATTTAAATTATAATTTATACTAATCATACTTATATCCTATCCTAAAACCCCATGAACTATCTATAGCTCAACAATTTAAATAAGATTAATAAAATATATGAAACATCTCTGTACTATCAGTTTATTACATGAAGTATTACCAAAAAAACAAAAAGTTCTAAAAATTAGACAAAATACTCTCAAAATTTTAAAATTAAACGAAATAAAAAGCTAAAAATTTAGCACTTGACAAAGGAAAGAGTAAATATGTGATATTTTTTATTAAGATATATAAATATAACTTATAATTTAAGCTTTACTATCCCTTTTCATAATCTAAAAATAGTCAAGTTGGTACTGATAAAAAATAGTAATAATAACAGATTAGAAATATCTAGTTAAATAATAAATAAATTTAAAAATATATGATAGATTAAAATTTAATGTTATTGTATAAATTAAAGTAACTGCATATAATTTTACCAATATGTTAGAACATCAAAAATACATAAGTATCATTAATTGATAGAAGACTAAATCACAAAAAACTGATAAAATATTATAATATAATAGCTTAACATTAATTAATTATTATTTATAAATATTAATCTCTAATGGTAATAATATTTATTAGGTAAAATTTTATAAAAATTTATGTATGGAGAACTATTAGAAAATTTAGAGATATCCTTTAAAAGAATCAAGCGGTTTTTATTTCACATGGAATTCAGAACGTTCATGAATCACTTCAATTAACATTAACATAAGTTATATTTATCAAAGAAACACGGGCTGAATACCCCGTGAAGAATATATTGAACAACTTTGTGCTCATCAAAGAAACATTCTTCATAGAAGGTAAAAGAAAAATTACTATACTTTGCGTAAGAAAAAAATATAAAATGAGCCTTTTTCTTTTTCTTATATAGTATCATGACCATGCGTGTGACTTTATTTAGGGGTATGACTACTAACGAGAGATCAATTCTTAAAAGCACTATCAAAGATAATGATGTAATAACAATATTATAATTCAAGATCTCTAAGTGTGAATGTAGTATATTTTATTAGTAAAATTCTTATTAAATGTCACTAAATATAAAATTCACCTTATATTTGTCACAAATTTATAGAGGAGATATGCATGTCATCGTAAATTGCATCAATAATATATATATTAATCCATAGTTATAACTTACTGAAGAAATAAGAAAATAGTAAGTAAACCAAGCAAATATCCATATAACACCGTAAAGAAAAAAATATATTGTATTTTAAAGCTAATATGCAGCGCTATTTTAGAGTAAGCTGTCAAGACAAAAACATCTCCATTAAGGTTCTTTATAAATACAACAAAAATTTAAATTACTAATATACAACCATTATAACATTTGAAAGATGTATGATCTTAGAAAACCTACTTTAAACTTCATACAATTAAATATAAGAATAATTTATCAATATACAGACATACTATCGTACCTTTAAGGCAATGATAACTACCATTTATAATAAAGTTGAGCAGTGGTTCTATGTTTGCAAAGACTACAATAAGAAAGTGGATAAACATGTTAATAATAAGTGTCCATATGATAAATGTTGTAGAATCGTCGATGATTTAGTACCAAGGTTGAGTGATATCCCTTCTTCATGAAAAAAATATATCAAAATTAAATATTAATATTATAATCTAAAGCAAACTGACAATGAAAATTTTAACGATTTAAGTTCAGATTCTCATTGAAATGACACAGACAGAGCATAAATTTTTATTGGATGCACAACAGAATAATTCATTGCAGAGAAAAAAGAGGTAGCTTCTAACCTTATTTAAGTAATAAATTAAAAGCATAAATTTTTATATATATATGAAATTAACATTTATTCTTATTGAAATAGGAAAAATCAAAGTACGTATTGTCAAAAGTTTGTGTTGAATATAAGAAATATATTCAACTTCTTTGTGAATTTAAACGAGAAGACAAAAGATGAATGAGCCCAAGGAAAGATATTATGCTTCAGTCTCATATCAAAATCGATGTAGACGATGAAGAAACTGCTACTCTAGAATTGCCTAGAAAAAAGATAAAGATGAAGAATGACTGATCTCGATTCAATAAAAAATAAAATAGAAGTAACAAAAGATAATGTTTTGTGAATTGTTATAGAATAGTTTTATTTTTTAGTAAAATTAGGAATCTTTAGAAGGGATTTTCATAAACTATTTTTAGTGCTTTCATATGCATATGTGGATGTTTTTATCATATAAAAGTATACTAGAGTTAGTGTTAATCTTCAGTTTATGATTTTTTTTGTTAACCATTTTCTATCATTTTGGCTCACTTTAAATCAATCATCTTGACTCGTTGGCTTTGCTATTCATCTTCCTTTTATAATGTTATTTTTTTCAAGTGTTTTCACTTTCATAACACTATACTTCCTCAGGTCAAGCTCGGTTTCATGCCGATCCAAATGAAATAAAAATTTAAATTTGTTTTAAATTATATTTATCTCCTGACAATTCAACTATCAACATAAAAATTTAAACTGGATGTAACCTATTCAAACAAACAATAAAAAAATCAAAGTGTAATCGATGAATAAATTTTAGTAAGAAAATAAACCAAAATTACTTAATCAAAGTGAGCAAAAATTATTATCAAAGAGTAACCGAGGAATAAATTTTAGTAAGAAAATAAACCAAAAATAACTAATCACGGTATTTAACCACGTGTATTACACGGGCATAAAATCTAGTACTTTCCAAAAAATACAAACAACATCAAACATATAATTATATTGTCGTACTCCCGAGTCGATGCACAAAGCCACAAAGGCTGTCAAAACTTAAAAATGAGAGAGCATGTCTTTGTTTTGTCTGTAACAGAAGAGATGCATTCTTGAACAACTTCTGCCAGCAGTAACTCATGATTCATCAGAGATCATATACAAGTGCATTCTGCAACAGTATGTACAATTCAGTACACATTAGAAATAGCAAACTTCGTTGCTTAGGTTCCAGCCTTGATCAAATTTGTAGCAACCAATTTAAAAAGAAAAAAGGAAAAAAAGACTACAATTGTACAAGCTATGATTTTGTGCGCGTATAACACATACGCAATGCAACTAAAGGTATCCTTATACACTTTGCTGCAGCAAGCATCTCATATCTTGCGTAATTGATATCTGAGCTCAGAAGATAATCGCTGTTGTAATTATAAATCGCCGGAGGGCATTAATTGTTATGTATGGTTATGGCCCAAGCCTGCATGCAAAAGAGATTAATCTGTTAGGTGTAATATAGGAAGAAGTTTGACATTTGATAGCGATGCACAAAGTATAGTGTCGAGGGCTGTATTAACAAAGTCATGAGAATGAAAGTTTAAATCCAGCAATTGAAGGACAAATAACCAATTTAACTACTAACAGATGCCAACTTGTTTTCTGCAGTTGCAAACCACAAGTCTGAATATTCAACAGTAAACGTCTTATAAATTGTAAAGTCAATCTAAACGTTTAAGCCCAGGGAACTCTCCTATCAGCTTTCAAACGCTACAAATTCGTATAGAAAGAAGAGAAGGGAGATAAATTTACAGCTACATCTTCTTCCAGGTGAAATGAATTTTGTGTTAGTCACCTCTTATCAAGGTTTTAAATGTCGGTTATTGGGGATTTATCGGACGGTCAAAATTCTTATCGGATAGCGGAAATCGGGGATATATCGGAGATAGGTAGTATTTATCGGAGTAATATATTAGCAAATAATAAACAAACATAAGTTTGAAAAAATATAATGTTAGTCAAAATGGAATAATAAACAAGCAAATAATAAGATAACATCAAGAATGAAGAACCATCTACGCATCTACATAATTATTGTTTAATCATGAGATTCATAAACTAACGTACTAAGTTGATATTTAGTAGTTATGAGTCGTTATCAATATCCATAAACAAACATTAGCTAATCACCAATCAACCAAGTTCTAAAAGCAACAAATAGCTCATAATTTGTAAGCATTCAAAGAGCAAATTCAAAAGAAAGTAAAATCTCCCAAATCCTACTTATCGGCCGATAAAGCCGATATTTAGAGCCTACTTATTGACCGATAAGTGCATTTATCGCCGATAACTCGCCGAAAAAACTCAAAAAACGATAACCGATTAAAAATTCTACTTATCCTAGCGGAAAGCTCCCAAATCTGATAACTCGGCGATAATATCGGATTATCGGCCGATATTTTAAACTATGCCTCTTATGCAAGTAATAACCTTGCATTAATTCAGTTAACTCACGTAGTTGTTTAAAGTACCTTCATTTATAATTCTCAACTAGGAAAAGAAAGAAAGCAAAACCGATGTCTGCTCCAAAATCAACTGTTACTATCTATGCTGATTTACTCCAACGTAAGCAGTCTATAGCCCATAAGCAATTGAAATTACTGAATGTTCTTTAGTTTACTAGTCGGCTGCAAAACCAGAAGAAATCAACAATGACTTTGCAATGCCAGAGTTCCTCTTTGATCAGAGGAACCTTGACCTTCGTCTACTAATTCCTTACCATCCAGCAAGGTCAGAATCTGGAAGAGAGAACATTGACAGCTATGGGGCCAATAGAGTAGATGCCTTGGTGTCAACTATACCACCTGGATCTTAAGCTTGAATATGCCTACACTCCTAGACATAATATCTCATACATGATGCATCAGCTAACACGTGAATTAAGGTCCACGTCCAATTACACAAAATTACAAACTATACTCTGTATCATGGTTTTTGCATCTCATGTAGTATGCAGTACAAATAGCTGAATTGTGATTCTGCGAAGCCATGTAATATCAAACATATGGGTTGAGCAAGTGAGTTTTTAGAATTTGCATGTCCTATCTGTATCATCGTGTTCATATCCATGAAAGCACGGTCATGTGGTGCTTTAGTACCATTTCTTAAACACCGGAGGAAATTTTAAAGGAAAAATATAAGAAATCTATGACACGATAAACATTAAAATCTGTATAGGCCACTGAGGTATTTGCACATCTTTAGACACTACTGCACCAAATTTACCATACCAATTGACATTAATTAACTGCATCACCCGCAATATTTAACTCTCACTAGCCCACCAAAATTTAATATTCTATAGGTTCAAGTATTAACCTATCTAATTAAGAGAAACATTTTTATTTGGCTGAAGAGAAGCTTTCATTTGCCTATAGAATTTGGTTTCAAATAATATTTACATCCATAATTGGAAGCTGTTCCTTTTATAATTATGATGTACAAATCGGTAATTTGAATATTTGATTAAAAATAGATTTGGGACTCTTAAGTCTCTCAAAATTAACATAAAATCCTAACTAAAAAAAATCTAAGTTGGGTCAAAATATAACATCATGTGCACAATAACACAAGTCATAAGACATCAAATTCTCAAACTGGTATTTGAATCTAAGTTGCGTCAAAATATAACATCATGTGCGTAATAACACAAATCATAAGACATCAAATTCTTAAACTGATATTTGATAAGGAAACGACTTGAAAATATGTAAATGCTCATATTTGATTCATTTAAAACCCAAATACCAAAACATATTTGCTTATTTGATTTTTCTTAATATGATAATTTTGAATTGAATTTGAACGAATACGGCCTAAGTTTTAACATTCTCAAATCCTTTTTCAAACCGAAAAGGATCAACTATACAAAACAACTTAGTAACAGGCAGTGCTCTCATGATGAACATAAGCACTTGGTTGCTGATTTAATGCCAACCCTCCAAAATTGGTCCTTAATTATTGAAGCGACTATGTCCAGCCAGTAATAGAGGCACTCTGACCTTAGAAGATCAACTAGACGAATAGAGAAACAACATGAACTGTCACGCAACTTAAGCAATCCAATCAGAAATTAAATGTCGAGAATCCTCCTAACTTGAAAAGCAATTCAGGCAAGCTGGGCATAACAAAAGTGTTTTATACTTGTACTCAATACTCATACACCATTTATCAATTACAGGATTGTACATTATCTCACCAACCTTAAACCTCCAAGTTAGGATCACAATCCGACAACTGAAATAGTTCCTAGATAACTAAGGAAAATGGCCTTTTATCCTTCACAGACACACCATATTAATGTATGCAATGAAATGTTCACATTTCCTGATGCAGAAGAAGCCTGACTTAATGCGAAAGAAAAATATAAGACATATTGCAATCTCAGAAATGATGCATTCTTGACAATAGAGAAGACCGATGTTTCAGCATGCAAATAAGATCAAGAAAGTCCATAAACCTTCGTCTACTAGTTCCTTACCATCCAGCAAGGTCAGAAGCTGGAAGAGATAACATTGACAGCTATGGGGCCAATAGAGTAGATGGCTTGGTGCCAACTATACTACCTGGATCTTAAGCTTGAATATGCCTACGCTCCTAGACATAATATCTCATACATAATGCATCAGCTAACACATGAATTAAGGTCCACATCCAATTACACAAAATTACAAACTATACTCTGTATCGTGGTTTTTGCATCTCATGTAGTATGCAGTACAAATAGCTGAAATGTGATTCTGCAAAGCCATGTAATATCAAACATATGGGAAGAGCAAGTGAGTTTTTAGAATTCGCATGTCCTATCTGTGTCAACGTGTTTGTATCCATGAAAGCATGGTCATACGGTGCTTTAGTACAATTTCTTAAACACTGGAGGAAATTTTTAAGGAAAAAATATAAGAAATCGATGACACGATAAACACTAAAATCTGCATAGGCCACTGAGGTATTTGCACATCTTTAGACACTACTACACCAAATTTACAATACCAATTGACATTAATTAACTGCATCACCCACAATATTTAACTCTCACTAAAACTTAATATTCTATAGGTTCAAGTATTAAGCTATGTAATTAAGAGAAACTTTTTTATCTGGCTAAAAAGAAACTTTCCTTTGGCTATAGAATATGGTTTTAGATAGTATTTACATTCATAATTGGAAGCTATTCCTTGACAATTATGATGTATAAATCGGTAATTGAATATTTGATTAAAAAATAGATTTGGGACTCTTAAGTCTCTTAAAGTTAATATAAAATCCAAACTAAAAAAATCTAAGTCGGGTCAAAATATAACATCACGTGCGCAGTAACACAAGTCATAAGGCATCAAATTCTTAAACTAATATTTGAATCTAAGTTGCGTAAAAATATAACATCATGTGCATAATAACACAAGGCATAAGGCATCAAATTCATAAACTAATATTTGTTAAGGAAACGACTTGAAAATATGTAAATGCTCACATTTGATTCATTTAATATCCAAATACCAAAACATATTTGCTTATTTGTTTTCTCTTAGTATGATATTTGAATTGAATTTGAACGAATATGACCTAAGTTTTAACATTCTCAAATCCTATTTCAGACCAAAAAGGATCAATGATACAAAACAACCCAGTGACAGGCAATGCTCCCACCATACACATAAGCACCCGGTTGCTGATATAATGCCAGCCCTCCGAAATTGGTTTTTATTATTAAAGCAACTATGTCCAGCCAGTAGATAGAGGTACTCTATTGATCTTAAAAGATCAACTAGACGAATAGAGATAGAGCATGAACTGTCACGCAATTTAAGCAATCCAATCAGAAAATAAATGTCGAGAATCCTCCTAACTTGAAAAGCAATTCAGGCAAGCTGGGCATAACAAAAGTGTTTTATATTTGTACTCATGCACGATTTATCGATTACAGGATGTAGATTATCCCCACCAGCCTTAAACGTCCAACTTAGGATCACAATCCGACAACTGAAATAGTTCGAAGACAACTCAAAGAAATGGGCTTTTATACTTCACAGACGCGTCCATATTAATGTATGCAATAAAAATGCTCACATTTCCTGATACAGAAGAAGCCTGATTTAATGCGCAAGAAAAATATAAGCAATATTGCAAACTCAGAAATGATATTCTTAACAATAAAGAAGACCAGTGTTTCAGCATGCGAATAAGATCGAGAAAGTCCATAAAGCTTCGATCTCTAAGCAAATTAACATGCAAGAGCAATTTTTTTAGAAAAACTTTTTACAAGGGGAATCTGATTCAAATTAGTTTGAAGAAGCTCAAAATTCCCATTTGCTAAGTGCTAGAGAGGGTTCTTGAAACGAAACCTGAAGGGCTAGGGACTTGAGTAGGGCGGAGATCGGAGATTGATGAAGCAGATGAGCTCGTCTCTGGTCTCCCCCTCGTTCTGAGCCCTGGACGCGATGGAGACCGCGTCTACTAGCATCAGAGCTCGATCGCAGAGATCCGCAAGCGGCGACCACACCCACAGAGACGCGATCTGCGATCTCGCACGCCTCGGCGCTATCGCCGCCGCGATTAGGCGGGAGACGCCGACTGCCATGGCCGGAGATTAATTTTGGCGGCGATCGAGGATAGATTTTATTTTTTTGGCAAATTGGGCAGAATTTTTATCAGAACTAGTGAGGAGTGAGGAGGGCACGTGCGAGTTGTTGCACATCGAAATTTCTACTAGATTGCCTCAGATAGGTTATTTCTAATTGCTGATTCGGATTGAGTTGCAGGTTCTTTGGAGCATGGGCCCTGGGTGCTTGGGCTCAGAACATCATTTGGATGGGCTCGGATCCTTTGCATTGCTGTACCCTGATGGGCCTTGATTGCTCTCCTATCTTTTGATTAGAAAGCGGCGCACACCGGGGAAGTGATTGTTTATTAAAAGCACAGAATTCTGCTAATAAGTGGTAACACCGTGTATAGAGTCTGACACCTACCCGGCGCTGGAAATCTGGAAGGTCGGAAGGCGACGAGGTAAATACTACTTGTGTCATTAGATATGACGCCTTCGAGTTTCTGGTGATGCTTTTTGGCTGCCCCGACGATGTTTTTGCACCCCGATGATTCTACTCTTGATTTGAAAGACAAATTTGAAGAAAAACTTAAGAATTAGAGGGCTTAATAGTAATTTCATTGATTAGAGGGACTAATGTCAAATCAATTAAATTGGGGGACCTAATGGCAATTTAAATAATTTGAAGGAGTAATTTAAAATAAAAGATTTAATGGATTAATATAGAGAAAATCATTTTGGTTATTTGATGGCTTATTTCCACTTTGGTACTCCAAAGTTTTCTGCTTTTTCAATTTTGATGCCCTATATAAGTGCTCTTTTTTTATAAGAAATAGGATTTTGTTGGGAAAAAATTAAAGGAGAAACCCATTTAATAGTAAATCTCAATCAAAGTATCAGGCTAAGTTCTGTGCCAAATGAGGATAACCAACATGAATGGTTATGAAGAGTCTCTGATATCAGGCTAAGTTCCACAACCTAAAATTTGTTAACCATTTATAAATTTTAAATACATAACTCCAAGAAAATTCTGGATAGTTTATCTATAGAGATCCAGATATTCATATATTGTATTAGTCCCTCAAATATGCAATAATTCAATATTAGTCCCTTAAATATTTAAAATTTCTCATAAGTCCTTCAAATTCTAAAGGGTCTTGCAATTTGGCCCCTCAATAAAAAATTTGTCAACATTGTAATATCAAAATGCCAGGAAAGGACTTTGGGCATCAAAGTCAAAGAGATGTTAACTTCATAGTAACAGAGTGTCAAATGAAAACCTTAGAATATGAAAGTTTAAAAAAAAAAAGGTTTTAAATTTTAAGGTACCAAAATTCAAATAACTGGCTTTTAAAAGTGGAACCTTCCAAATCTTGCTTTCGTTCGTTATCTATCTGAACCATACTTTGTTGTTTAGTATTTTTTAATGAAGCCGAAGTTTCACTCCCGTTTACTTTGAAAACCATATAGTTCTTTATCTTCTCATACACCCAGAATACATAGTTTTTCTTTAAACCCAAACTGTACAATATAAAATGTACAGCTAGAAAAATTAGAGTGTGGCTCTACATTCTATAGTCAATGGCGGAGTCAAAACTTTTTCTCAGTGGTGACCCTATGTAATTTCTTGGTTCTATTGAATGTCTACATCGATAATTTTATACTTATTCGTAGGGCTAAATTACTAGACTAAAATAGTATTTTAACCTAAACATCACCTAACCAATAAGACCTAAAAAGTGATGCCACTAAAAATAACATCTATAAATTGACATAGTGGACCATTTAAACCTACTTCGGTCATCAGAATTTTGATTTGTACAAGAAAATTATAAATTTTTGCATATATACCCCTAACATCTCTCACACTTACAAATTTATCCTCAAAATTAAAATATTTGCATAGAAACCTAACTCTCTCTTTCATTTCAACCTCTATCTCTCCACTCCCCTCACTTTCCTCCTCCACTTCTCCCTTCATTTCCTCCACCTCCTCTCCACTTTTTTGAGTTAGTGTTTGAGGGGAGAGAGGAGAGAGAGGAAAGGAGAGGAGGAGAAGAGTGAGATGAGAGAATAGAGAGAGGTTAAGGAGAGGAACATGGGTGGAAGGAGGGAGAGGAGGAGGCGAAGGTGAGGATTTTGGGAAGGAGGAAAGAGGAGAGAGAGTATATAAGAAAGTAAAGAAGAGGATGAAGTAGATTGTGGCGAGAGAGGGGATGGAGGGTGGGTGGGAGTTTTGGGAAGGAAAAAATAGAGGGAGGAACTTTGGGAAGAAGGAAAGTGGAGAGGATGTGATAGATGGGAGAATAGGAGGATGAAGGAGATGATGGTTGGAGGGAGAGACTAGGGGGGCTAGGCAAGGGGAAGAGCGAAAGAGGATTTTTTTTGTAAATATTTTAAAATTTGGAGGGTAAATATGTAAGTATGAGAGATATAAGGGGTATATATGTAAAAATTTATACTTTTCGTGATCAAACCAAAACTCTAGTTACCATAGTAGGTGTAAAAAGTTAAGTATGTTAATTTATAAGTGTTATTATGGTCGGTGTCATTTTTTAAGCCTTATTGGTTGGTGGGTATCATTTTATAGGCTAAATTGGTATTTTAGCCTAAAATTATATATGTAGCTTCACCACTATGTAACTGGATCACTGCCTATAGTGTGTAACTATACACCATGTAGTGTATAGTTGTACATTCTATAATATTCAGGTATATACATTTTATACTATTAGGTATATACACCTTGTGGCTATACACGTAAAAAATCTATATTTTGGGTTTAGAGATAAATAAACTTATATTTTTGGCACCGACATGTAGACCTTTGTGGGTTTTTAATGTAAATGTGTGTCAAACAATGGGTTATAATAGAAAGAACCTTGCTATTTGGCACGCAAGATGGGCGCACAGCCCATCTCGCGTGTCACAAATAGGGGGGATAGGACCCACATCTGGCTATGGGTCCCACCCCCTTGTTTGTGGCACTCGAGATGAGCTGTGTGCCCATCTTGCGTGTCAAATAGCATTTTCGTAATAGAAACACGTATTATTTTTTGGAACATTGCTATTTGGCATGCAAGATGGGCGCGCAACCCATCTCGCGTGCCACAAATTGGGGGGTGAGACCCACATTTGGATGTGGATCCCACCCCCCTATTTGTGGCATGCGAGATGGGCTGCGAGACCATCTTAAGTCTTAAATGGTATTTTCGTATTTTTTACTCATGCTCTTGCAAAAAATAGCAAGGAAGGTCACTGTGTCGTGGGTCCCATCACTTAATATGAAATTCGTAATTCTGCAAATACATGAGGAGAGCTCTTTGGGGCATCGGGCACTTTGTTGATGGGGCCCACCAGGTGATGAAGCGCACAGCTCCGACGACAGCAAGCAGGTCTATAAACTATAACGCTTTTTTATAATGCTTATAGAAATATGATCGATCTTTGTCATCTTTCTCTTTCTCCGTGATATTTTGGAAGTTATGGGGATTATCTGATAATCATCCAAAGTTAAGTGGGTTTGTGATATTTAGCCTGAATTATATAAAGGTTAAATATTATAAAACCTCCTTTTAACTTTGGATGATTAGCAGAAAACATCCCTTGACCTTAAAAATATCAGAAAACCCCTTTAATTTAAGGGTGAAAACCGTCGTTAACTTTAATATTTTATCATGAAACCCCTCTAATTTTTTTGGGGGTGAGGTTAGAAAGGTTTATGATAAAATCTAAAAGTTAATAAAGGGTTTTTGCTAAAATTTAAAAGTTAAGGGGGGTTTTGTGATAATATTGATACTTAAGGGTGGTGTTTCTAATATTTTGGAAGTCAAGGGGGTTTTTTGATAATTGACCAAAGGTAAGGGGGTTTTCCGATATTTAGCCTTAAATAAACCCCCCACTAAAGTTTACACCTTACACCTTATTTTCTATAGGAGGGATGCTACAGGCACATCTCCGGCCACATCACCAGCCACACCCCCTCACCTGCTACAGTGCAGGGGCCCCATTTGAATTTTTTTTTAAAAATTTCAAGTGGGGCCCCCTACACTGTAGCAGGTGAGGGGTGTGGCTGGTGGTGTGGTCGGAGGTGTGTCTGTAGCATTTTTTTTTTCTATAGTGCTTTATATGATTTGGCCCCCAGAATAAAATATAAAAAAAATCACCTAACCTTCACGTGATATGTGTAAGTACCCCATAAGATCTTAAAGCGACAGTTGGATCCATTTGCTTCAATTTTCTGAAGTTAATTTGAATGCAAAATGCTACAGTGATAAACATAACAATTAGCTCTATATTATATACCATTATAAATATGGGAGAATCTTTTTTAAAAGTCCGGTATTAGTATGATTCTGAAAAATGTTAGTCCACAGAATTTGATTTTATTCTGATTGTCAAAACTTACTATCAAACAACAACTCCCAGAGAAGCAGAGAAAAATTGCAACCGTCATCGTTATAAACTTATGACACAATCTATTTTTTCGTACTATAGCATAACATGATTATAACAGGAATTATTTCATGTGCACTTACACGACAAATTCCATTAGTACGAGCCCTTAATCTAATCACGAGTAATAGGAAATAAGATACTGCAACTTGCAACTAATAACTCAGTTTCTTTTTTTTTCACATGGACTATAGATATAGCATCATCAATATCAAATTTATCTTCACGGGCAACGAAATCATAGTGATTAGTTTGTTAGGCGTCTCGGATTGCTGATGTTTCCATGGCATTCAAAATCACTTTCAATCCTGTTGTCAGTTTGATGCTTTCTGATCTCGGAGTACATTTCTTCGATCATTGGCTTCCACAGACGAACTCGAGCATTAATAAACCAGTTGGAAACCTAGAAGACAATCAAGGTAATTAATTTAATCACATACATTCCTCCAAATTAAAGAACTTAATCGCATACAGAAAAAGATCTCAATTAAGCAGTAAAAAGAACATATCAGGAGTTAAAATCATAATTAAAATGGGTATTTGCAGATACGCCCCCTGAATGCTAGTCATTTATTGCCCTTAAAAAAATTATTACCGCATGAACCCAAAATGTCTAAAGATAGTTTTTTTTTTTTTTGTTATCTGTATCAGTTGGTAGTGGCATATGTTCAACACCAACAAGAAAATTGGGGATATCACTGTAACGCGATAAAATATCATTGGATTTCTCTACAACACATTGGTGTCATGTGACCCGCATGAGAGGTACATGTAACAGGAATACAACTTCGCTTTTGGATCAAAGAGTCAAAGTGCAAATAAGTTATGGGTGTAAATTGCACATAACATCCCTCATCTATACCTCTAGTAGCACTTAACCCCCTCAATTAATTTGCTAGCACCAAACCCCGCTAGATTGTCCTTTAGAACAATAGATTGCTCATAACGCCCCTCTCCCTCATGAACTCATCTATAGACTATGAGACTATAACTTTAGTAGAGCTTAAGACTAATTACAGTGAGTGTATTTACAACCAACCCTAACGGAACAGATAATTACAGTTCAATAAAAATTACCTGGCTCCTTGTCAAACCACTTTGTAAAGCAAGCAGATGTTTGTCATTGTCCTTCGGATACCTGCAACAATTAAGGACTCATTAGTAAAAAATAATCAAGTACAACCCCTTGTTCTAAATTATTATTTTTATTTCGGGGAACATCAGAACTACAATTAGTAGCTTACGGATGCAAAAAGTTCTGAAACATCCACGCACGTAAAACTGAGACAGATCTTTCAGGCAATCCTCTTTGAGGTCTCCAACATTGCTGATCCTTCCTTCCCATTTGCAAAGTCCATTGTTTCTGAATGAAGGAATGCTCAAAGTATTTCTCTTTTCCTTTCGTGTATCCTCTGCTGCGTTCTTCATTTGATAAAAGAATATGGCTTTGAATTCTTTCCCTTAAGTTCTTGAATGTAGAGGATAGTGTGTGGAGAGCGAAGTGGGCTAGAATTTGAGGACTGCTCGAGTTAGATGCGTCATAGAATGTACTTATGACTTTCTGGATATTGTCCAAGTATTGCTTGTAACTGTGATCGACCTGGATCTTATGGAGAATGGCTTAGTATCATTTGAATGCAAAGTACAAATTTATGGAATGTCAAGTTGCTGTTTTCTGATGAAATTAACAAAGCTAATTGTCTAATTTAAGGATCATTTGATCTTTTAGGTTTTGCAGGTAAATATGATATGCTATGCAGATAGATACGAGCCATTATTATAATGAATACATTAAAAAAATTTAAATTTCTTTTTCATTTATTTAGTCGTGAAATGATTCTTCTTTATGAGCGACATAACATGAAACCTCTAATCCAACTGGCAAAATCATATAACACTTAACTCAGCTATTATGCCAATAAACAAAGTAGTTTAGAACAATTCTCATGATGACAAAATTATTGTCAACAATTAAACATATGATAGAGATGAAGATTCAGAAATTAGAATCATGCCAGGTACCAATACTTGTAATTGAAGCACTTATTCTGATATGTGTTTGATACATAATGCTGGATACTCAATACCTCGACACGGTAGTCGTGTATCTGAGATGTATTCATGACTAAGCCCTAAAATATTTATGTTTGTGAGTTTGTTATTCACAGCTTTATATTTGTCAATTAACCCTCCAATTTATGTCTAACAAAATGAGTGGGATTACTGTGCTTAACTATTTGCAATATTACGCGTAAGCCACGGGACATACCTAAAACATGTAATATCATGCAATACAACGCACATTTTATTAAAAAAATAAATAAAACACACGTACCATTTGAAGCATAGCTACCAGCTTGTTCTTCTCTGCCTTATTCTCTTCTATCACAAACTGTTCCATATCTTCCCGAGACTTCATTTCTCCTGAAGAATTCCACTCATCAGAACCTACATCGAATAAACCTTTAGCTTTTGAGCAACTTGATGAGAAAGAAATTCTAGCCTCACCCTCGATCCCACTAAATGAATCATCTATCTCTTCAAAATTTCCCACTGCATAGTTAACGACTTCACCCAGTATTTCTTGGGCCAAATCAATGTATCTTGATCCTGAAAGAACGTGAGAAAAATGAATAGAACTCAAAGGACCACAATATAGAGAAAGCTCCTCACTTTCCTTAGGTGTAGCTTGAGTTACAACTGAACTACTTTTTTCTGACGATCCAAGACTCAGGGAAAGTTCATTTCTTGGCAATGTGCTTCCATTTACATGATAAGATGGATGAACTGTGCTCATAATTTTCATAAATTCATTCTGAATTGGCCCATTTCGTATCTCATAATCGCTATTGAACAAATTAGAACTGTCGAGAGATCTCATATTCATAGGTAAAAAGTTACTGAGAGAACCCATGTTGGCATTTTCGTTATAAGCTTCGAAAGAGCTTCCATTGGGCATACCACAGTAATTTGGTACATAAAGATTGTTCAGAAATTCTTCTTGTACATTTGAAGGCAAAGGGTTTCTTGCAAATATCCGCTCATTGGTGTTATGATCAATTATACTAGGCTGTATCAATGAGGATGAAAATATATGCGATGAAGCTGCGTTGAAGATTGTGTGACTTTGATCGGTTTGTAATGACGCACTGAATATATCATTCTCCATTGCAAAGAGTTGCTGAAATTTCAGTAACCTTGTATGACTTGAGAAGAAAGTATCGATAGTTTTAGTAGTCAGATAGATGGCTTTGAGTACTAAAACTCGAGACGTTCATTACGTGGCAGACTCCTGAAAAAATGGCAAAAGAAATCAAGATTAAGCCGAAAGTAACTAAAAGTAGTGACAAGTATAAATAGTTAAAACAAAATGATGTATCAGACGCCAATCAACCATTATGAATAAAACCTTACAAATGAAGAAAGATTGATATGAAAGCCTCTGGTTAATTTCTACTTGCCAATTTTAAAGTTAATAGGCTATATATTGCAACAAATTAGACATCATATTTCTGGTTAGTTTAGATACTAGAACTGTACATGTAGAATTATTTACAAATTTTGAAGTAGGAATACTTGAATAATTCATTTCTGGGTTTGCTAATAATGATCTCAGAAAAGTTGTGATCGAAACAGAAATATAAGACGAACAGATGTGCACTGAATGATTTGAAAAGAAAATACTGACAATTAGAAGAGTATAACCTGATGAAAAAGAAGAAAGAATCCACATCAAGAGCATAGTTATTAGTTATGAGGCAACTATACCAATAACTGCATAAACTCGGAAGTGAGAGAACATTTCTACACAAGAAAGTTAAGATGAAAAACGCTAGAAAGTAAATAGATATCATAAAGCTTAACCTAGCCAAGGATGCAGAATTCAGTTGAAGCAGGGAAAGGAAATTTAATTCAAGTAAGTAAAACCATATACTCAAGGGAAAAAAAATCATAGTGAATTGAAAATACCATAATGAGCATAGCTATATATATAGAAACCTACCTCCTTTCTTGGAAAACCTCATCAGCAGCCAATTGAATTGAAATAAACAACTCCTCTCTTGCATCCTGAATACACATATAAACCACTTAACGAGAACTTTTCCTTCAATCAAGAAGAAAATAGAGCGCATTCATATTACAACTCACAGACTAAAGAGCCACAATAATGAATTAAACTATTCCAAACCAAAAGGACATCTGTGGACATTACAACTTACGAGACATAAATTCCAGAGCCAAATGAGTAAGGTACTATAGTTTTGTACCACACTGATCATGGAATTGGGTTTTCGCACCACACATATCAAAGGGAAATGGGGTCCAAAGGTGAAGAGGAATCACGCATTTCTCCTCACTTTGAAAGCATAAGGCCAATGATTACAGTATTCACTATTCACCAAATTGGGTTTCTCGATTGATCAAAAGAAAAGCATGACATTGACAGGTCGTAGTAAAAAAAAAAAGCAGGTAATTAGTTTTGATCTAATCATTGATAGGCTTTATAAAATTCTATAAATAAAAAATAATGCTACCTCTACTCTGCTATAGTTTTTATACTACATTAATAGTACAAAACACAATCACAGAGTCATTACTTATAATAATCAGCCTTTGTTGTTACTCGCAACAGGAGATCTGTCTTTATTTGTACAAGATGGTTGAGTCTTATAACACAAAAGTAGTATAAAAATTGAAGTACAGTTAGTACAATTTAGGGTTTTCGTTGTATTAGACCCTACATCTTTGTTAATTCTATGTTTGATCCTGAAGTCTTCATGTTTTCTAAATTAGACCTCCGAACCCGTTAGTTTTAAATACGGCCCTCAAATAGATCTGCTAAGCTTCTGAAATAAGACCCCATTTTGAACATTAGAAAAAATATGAAGATTTGAGAGTCTAATATAGAATTATCAAAGATTTGGGAGCCTAATGTAACAAAAACTACTCTAAAATTAAAATGTTAATGCACACTGGCCGCAGTAGAATGATGGCTTTCTCTTCCTCAATAATTGATTCCTTGCATATTTTAATATTTGATTAAAACCCCATGTCAAACTCTAAGGGGCTGTTTGGTTGGTTTTCCTGATTATAGGAAACTCATTTGTAAATATAGATATTGTTTTTAATGTGTTTTTAAAAGTTTCTTAAAATTTGTTTGGTTCGTCACAAAATAAGGTTGGAAATAAATTTCCTCACATATCCATTGTTTGTTTCACAACTAAAAAAAAGTAAACTAAGAATAGGAAACCTCACTTATCTTTACTATAATAGCAAAAATAATAATTATTTAATACTTTTTCATCCCAATTCCGAACTCAAAGCTCGGGAAATGGTCATTTCTTGTTTTCTTAGTTGGCATGTGATTTCTCCAAAAAAAATCCTTAAATCTTGTGTTGAACCAAACTAAGGAATAGAAGATCTATTTAGACTTAGATCTCTCGCTGTCATCCTATCAGCGATGGAAACCTATTTCTCTTCATCATTTTTGCCAAACAAACAGCTCCTAAAAAAAAAAAAAAATTATGCAATACCCAAGAACTATAAAACAAAAGAGCTCAAGGCTGAACCAAAACAGGCATTGGAAAGGAAAAGGTCAAGAGGCTTTAGGCAGAGAGAGAGGTACAAGGCCCATCACCCAAAAGCATGCATCAGAAGAAAAGGAAAGAGAACCAGAGACAGAAGCTGAGGCCTTTGAAGGCTTTATTATCTCCTCTTCCTCCATCTCTTGCTGCTCTCTTGGCAATGATGGCATCAACTAAAATGACTGAAGCCTCTGAGCTTTTGCAGAGTACTCGTAATTTTAAAAGCCTACCCTTTTTAATCTCAAAGGAGAAAAAGCTTACACTTGGGAGAGTAAAAGGGGAAGTTGTCTACTTTTATGCAACTGTACAGAAATAATGCAATTTTTGGAAGAATAGGAGCAAAAGAAGGAGACAGGGTGAGATCAGCAAAATCTATTGGGGAGATACTGACTCACTGGATGACCTCAGCTGAGGTGTGGTGTTTGGTGCTTATATGGGATTTAGGGATGGGGGATGGGGGCCAAAAAAACCATAGAGGAGGTTCAATAGAAAATTATAAGATATATACAATCGAAACATTACATCAATGTGATCGTCAATAGTATATACACGCATATTAGAATATTGTATTCGTGTAATCATCAACATTAAAAGTTATATCAACGCATAGTTGCGTGTTACATAGTTTCGGTGTATATGATTTTTTTTTCCCGTCTTCCTCCATGAATGATGATGTTAGAACTTGGAATTGCTCTTTGAATTATGAGAGTCTAAGCATATAGTATCTATATATCACTTTATGCTTTTCTTTTAGCCTCTACATTAATTTTCCCTAAATTACTTCGTGTTTTATCTTCTTTGTCATTTTTTTCTCAGCTTTTTTAGTCATTCTATTGCGGACGCAAACAGGTCAGACACAAAGCAAATGTAAGTATCATTATATCTATATTTGTTGTTCTCAATGCACGCAACAAGATAATATACGACTGAAGAATATGCAAGACTGGTAAAATAATTTTGGGGCTTATGTATAACGCACATTTTTACATCTTTCAAATTCAAAAAAAATATAAAAATAAAGCTATAAGCTTATAATATTAAAAAAAATTCAATCTTCCAAGTTTTGAATGTGAGAGATTTACTTTACGTTCATCTTTTGTTTGATTTCAAACAGTAGAAAAATATTCGTCTAAAACACGCAGGGTTTGGTATGCGTTTAAAAGACACAAGAAAACCCATAACGTGGGGAGGTAAAAGAGAACACTTTTGGTATCAGTGATTTGAGTTCAGCTTGAAGGATAAATGAATGGATTATGGAGATAGTACTGTGCGAGGACTGCGCATTATTAATAATGTGGAGAGTGAAGTTATAATAAGAGTCCTTGGGAAAGAAACATTAAAGCTTTGCCTGAATTTTTCAGATAGTCAACATTTGCTTGGTCTTTAGCACATGATCTTTACCTACAAAATATAGATACTTTCAATGCCTCTCAGCTTTCTACCTGTCTCAGCTTGAAGCAGGTTGGCAGATTTATTTTTATTTTATATTTTCTTTTCATTTTTTCCTTCTACGTCTGTTTTGGTTTTGAAGTTGGTGTGCACGTAAGAAAATAAATTCAGTATAAAGAAAAGGTCTAACCTCTATTCTGACATAAAACCCTGTGGGCAATAGATGCATATGCAGCGTAGCCAGCATATCTACAATGCTTAGCCATTTGTTACCAATACTTGTTCGGAGACTGACGAATTGATTGTAGAATGGAGTTCCTAAGGTACCCATTTGATTTCACATACAATTTTTAGGACATTTTATGGTATATGATCTCAAAAATGGTATGCCCTTAAAACAAAGAGTATTGGAGGAAAATACATGTGACGACATACTTTCAAAATTGGCTTTGTATGCTATTATGAATCAGGGGCTCCATTGCTACGAATCTACTTCTCCGAACAATAAAACATATTGGTAACTTTTACAGCCTGCAACCACATATGAAAGGCAATTTCTCGAACTCTCTTTCTCCTAAGAATGCACGATCTTTCAGTAATCTGAAATAAATAAATTTGAGGTTCGAAAACTTGCTACAAGCCTACAACGGATAGCCACCACAGAAAAGAGAAGGGGAGAGCAAGAGAAAATTTTATGATGCTAACTAATAACCCAACAAATAAAGAGATTACCATGGCAATGAAACCACAAACTGGAAATGAAAAATAATGTCACGTTTAGCTTGGACCATGAAAACAGTATCGCCATGTTTCATATAGCAACAAGCATTTGACATACTATAAATAAATTGAAGAGAGAGAAAACCCTGCACTTGAATTCTCACACTTGTATCAGATATAACACAAGCACCGTGGATTTTGCATTCAGAAGATATAAAAGTTCAGAAGAAGCATGTACAGTATCAAGATTTGAAATTTGGCAGGGCAAACATGTTTTCCTAGTACAAATCCTGATTGTTTGAGCACTCAGAAAGGGCAACAAAGTTCACTCCATGGATTTTGAGACTTGAAAAATACAACATACGTAACTTGAGAGAAAAATAAAAGAAAAAGAAAAAAGAAAAAACTCAAGATTCTTCATCGCTATCATTGCCAAATACTGATGGGACCTTTAAGGGTAACTTTTGCTTCTTGACTGTGCTGGGTGAGCTCTGAGTAAAAGAAAATGTTAAAGCAATGTCAGAAAAATTATCAAATATCCAGGAAATGTCATTTGATAAAACTCTAAATAGTAATGTGTTTTCACTAATAAAAAAATAAGGAGATTCCGATTCTAGAAGTAGTTTCAACCTTGGTCAGAATATAATTCCAATTGCTACAAATCCAAATTTTAGAAGCAACTAAAGACTCAATATTCATTTACAACATAACTTGACAGTGGAGCCAGCAGCGAACTCGCTGAAGAGAGGGGCCCAAAGTAAATTTAAGAAAAATGGTTAAGAAAGCATTGCAAATTTTTTTTCACTTCATCATAGATTGAAGGAAATAAAGTAGTAAATACCTAAATCTTGGTTTGTGGGCAATATTAACATTTGAGGCACCACAGTCAGTATCAAATATTGAGCAAAGAGATGGAAATAATCACTTTAAATAATTACTTTCTTCAAAGGAAATTAAGCAGCATATATCTAAAGAGTGAAAAAAACAACATTGTATTTATCGGTGATACTAACCTTGGAGGCACCAAGCCTAGAGAACCCAAATTTTAGTGTTTGTCGCTGGTCTTGGTCTACAAGTGCAGTACCACTTGATGTTTTACCAGAATCATTAGGGGCCGCAGATTGTTCTTGCTGCTCTTGCTGCTTCTTTTGTTTGTGAGCATCCGCCCTAAAATATTTTATGAAGCAAGAAAGGTGGGAAAAATCAGAATCTACTGATATATGAATGCCAACAGAAAAGTCATCATGAGGAAATATCCAAGTTTTTTCCTTTTTTTTAAGTAAAGAAGAATACATCTGAGCAAATTTTGCCATTTCCTTTTCTTGCCGTAATTGTTCCCTTTTCTGCCTGTCATCCCGACTGCTGCTGCCATGCATTTCTCTCATCTCTTTAAACCGCTGAGTAAATACCGAACAAATGCAAGCGATAAGTCGGGTATAACAATTACTTCGAAATAAGGCTTCAACCTCAAGTGTAGAATTAATTAATGTATGCACTACCTTTCTGTGATTGTGATCATATGAGCTCAAGTGTCCTTCGAACTCTATCGCCAATTTATACTGCTTGTTGCAGAGACTACAGTAGAATACCTTCTTTATCTCCTTAACCTCATTTTGGATTTTCTGCTCGCGTTCTGCTACAACCTGGATTGTCATCATTTGCACGAAGCAGGCAATAGAAGCCACCAGATAATAAAAAGTGCAAGAAAAGCTCAAGACCCTCAAGTTGATACTCCATTATGGCAATAGAAGCCACCAGATAATAAAAAGTGCAAGAAAAGCTCAAGACCCTCAAGTTGATACTCCATTATGATTTACCATTCCCGTCACAAATAAAAAGTGCAAGAAAAGCTCAAGACCCTCAAGTTGATACTCCATTATGATTTACCATTCCCGTCACAAAATGAGCATAAATGCTATATGCTGGCTACTAGTGGTGTAGGTTTGAACAAGAGTCAAACATCAACCTCAGAGTATCTAATCTTATAATGAACATTAAACTATAAGCTCTAAAAAACATACCTCGCGCTTCTTTGCAAGTTCCTCTGTTTCTTCTAGTTCAATATCAAGTTTCTTCCGTTGTACATTTTCTTCAGCTGTAAAAAAGTCATCTTGCTCT